CCCCCCCCCCCGGCCCTTCCGGAATTGAAGTTTATTTGAAAGCCCGAGAAACGTCTTGCCACTCAGGAGTTGGTGAAAAAATTGGGTCGAGTTAGTCTGGGAAAGAGAGAATGCTCAGAAAATAATCGAAAAGAAGAATTAAAATCCCGGGAAATAAATCCCAGCACGACGGACCAAACAATAACCGATTACGTAGTCACTTTACCGCATACAACTAATTTCCCGCGTCATTCGTACTCGTCCGGTATTTTCTTTCATTTCTCCCATTCATTCGCCGTTTTGTTCCCGAACTGAAATAGAAAAAGCCACACGATCGCCAAAGAAATTGGACGCAACGTGCGCTCAGTGCTCGTTGTTTATTCCTCTTTTCCACTGAAATGTGGAACAAAGCCCTTTGTTTTCAGTTATAGGTGTGTGAGGACGCTGCTGTGATGTAGTGGAAAAACGAGTTGAAAGGGAGAGCCGAAACGACGAAAAAGAGGGAAGAGGGGCACTGTTCTCAACTGCGTATGACTCGTCGTTTCGTCTTGGTGGATGATGAAGGTGAAATTAAAAGATGAATGCATCAGACAGCGGCGGAAGGCAGGCGAGACTGAGGAATTGTTGAGGGCCAAAAGGTCTTCCACCCCTTGTTTCAGTTGTCATCTTGACTTGGGTTTTAACACTGGGGGATGGAAGATGGAGACGCGCTGGTAAAAATTTTGAACTAAAATTTCCGGCAGGAGTCTTGAAAATGGGTAACATTTCCACTGAGAGTTCAAGGAATTTTGTCATTGAAAATTCATAAAGCTGTAAATTTCTGTTTAATTATTCCGGGGGAATTAATCGAAAATCAGGAAATTCAGAGAAATATCTCCTTGATTTACAGATTCCTCGAAAGTTTCAGGGAATTTCTTTGAACATTCTGGGAATTTCAAGAATTTAAAATGAATTCCCTGAAAATTTAAGAGAATTTGGCAGTGAATATTCATTTTCATTTCAAAATTTGTGTAAATTGTGGAATTTTCATTTTCCTGTAGCTAAAAAATGGGACTTTACTTGAATTTTTAGAAAAACTTGAGATTCCACTGACTTTTTTCCCTTAAATCGAATTCAAGGTCGTTTTTCGAAAAATTTAGCCTAATTTTTTTAACAGTGCGTTTTGAATTGCAGAAAAATAAAAAAAGTTGAAGGATTACACAATGAATACTATCGAACTCCTGATAAATAAATGCCATGCATTGCAGTTCAAACATTCTGGATGTCATCCCCATGGAAATAAATTTATATTCTAAAACACATTCTCAAAATATCTTTTTTTCAGGGTGAAATGCACATGAAACTCTATTCGACTTCTATTGAAAAATTCCGCACCTTTTCTTTGTTTTTTTTCGAATGGAAATCTTGCAAATAATAAAATGCGTGAACACAAAGAAAGACAAGTTTTGATTTTCAGGAACATGTCACTGATTTTTAGGAATCTATCATCAATTACTGGTGATACTGGACACTGACTAGAATGATCCTGATCATTAGTGATTTTTTTCACATAAATTTGGAGACAGATTCCTAAAAATGAGGGATATATCCCCGAAAATCATTGACATTACTCTAAAAATAAGTGAAGACGTTCCTGGAAAACTTTTTTCTCCTTGAATTTTTCCTACATAAATTTGTTTGTTTAAATTCTCGGAGATTTTCGACTTGAATTTTCTCCACCTCGATCGGGAAGATGGTTGAGAGAATAAAAATTTGTGGAAAGTAAAAATGAACAAGAGAAGCCTGCGTAAAAGCCGAAAGGTATACGGTAGCAGGAAAATTATGAAATTAGGGAATTTGCACAGAAGAGCTGTGAAATTTTTCCTATGCTCATCCACAAAATTCTTTTCTTCCATAAAATGTAGTCGTCCATGGGGCATATGTGGACCATCTGCAACATACATTTCAATGAACACGGAGGGGAAAAATATGAAAAATGACCGGTAAAATATAGTGAATCGTGGTATATTAGGCCAAATAAGAAAAAGTGATGTAGATAAAGTTGGGGAGAATAACCTCATTTTTCCTTGCTATTTCCTTCACTGTCCCCTTTTATGGCTGATATCCCGCGACTCAGACGAGTCCCTCACATGAGAAGATAATATATACCCATAACGTATGTTCCAAATAATTAGTTTTTCGTGACACTGGAATTATTACTTCATAAACCATCAAAATGTGCAGAGGGAGAATCGGCGGAGAAAAATAACTTTTACTACACGAAAGGTAATCGTTTAATAAAAACTCACACTTTTACGTGACTTATTCGGTAATTTTTCTCCCTGACTGTTTCGTCGTAGAATAGAATACTGAATTATCTATCTTGAAAGTATTCATGAAATGTTCCAAATCGTTAATTTCCAACACATATCATGGATCTGTCGTTCTCAAGCTACCAAATATCAACACAAATTACATTTGAGTATTGACCGCCTCCGACTCGAGAGAAAAACACACTGAGAGAAAAATCTGAAGTTCGATTTAGGGGAGGATGGGGCAAAACGGCCCCCCTTCAATCGTCAATATTTTCCGATTCAATAATCCGATTGGGATGAGTTAGGGCTCGTTTTGAAGAATGAAGAATTATCTTCCAAATGAAGTTGAAACTGGGAATTTTCACAATGTCATTCACAAGTTATTGACAATTGAAGGGGGGCCGTTTTGCCCCACCCTCCCCTACAATAAGAAAATAGTTGAGGCAGTTTTAGTGAACGATACGATTTTTTTCAGTCAAAATTCGTAAACTTGTAATTTCTAGAAGAAATTCCAGAAATTCAAGAATGTACTGGATATACTATGTCATACAGACGAACATCAACGATGCCAGTCGAAAGTGACCACAAAACCAGGAGAAAAGAGGACCTAGCGAAAGAAGGGAGCCACTACCCCAGTAGTAGAAATAACCCTCCCTTTCAACACGCTGTAAAGTGGCTGGGCAATGGTTGGTGTTGCACTCAAGTAAAAGTTTCTTGTACAACTCTCGTGACCAAGCTCATGTCGTGTGGGATTGTATACACTGTGGCCCGTCACCACTGAAGCCCGCACCCCCCTTCACCGTTGGAATTTATGTTCTCCAACGTTTACGGGCTAGGGGCAATGGCAAGCCAACGAATGCTGGGGGTGGGTTTTATTAGTTTTTATTATTGGAAACTTTTGCTGTAAATTATCTTGACACTCACCTGGAATGCTATCGCTTCCCGCTCTACCTCCGACATGTTTTTGAATATCGTGTTTATTATTTGGAGGAATTTATCGCGCTGGAGAAAACTTGGTTGATCCTTATCGAAGTAGTCTATGAAGTCGTAAAGAATAAAATATGTGCCTGGAACAAAAGAAAGGGAAATGTTAATTAAAATGGAATTCAGTGGTTTCAGTGGGGGGAGATATGAAGAGGACTATTAACAAGTGATTTCAGTAACGCGACCGGAAATGTTTATGTGCATTGAAAGAAACGACTTCCTTTCTTGAGTTATTGAGGAACTTTTCACTGAATTCATGAAGAGAAAAACGTGTCTCTGGAGTTCAATCGCAATCAGTGTGTTTGTCTGAACATGATAGAAATATCTACTTTGGAAGTAAGTGGAAAAATCCTTGAGTTGCAGACAACAAAATTAAGAATGTGAAGGAAGGAAATTTGATTTTCGTAAATGAAATTAATTTTCTCGACATGTGGAAAACGTGGTTACCATTGACAGATTTCGGCTATAACCCCTGAAAAATTTCAAAATGTCACATTGTAACTAAAATTTTAGAAAATCTTGTAATTGAAAACTATGAATATTTTGATATCATAGAAAGAAACTATCAATTTCTGCTCAATTATTAATTGAAAATGTATAAAAATGGGAACAATTGAGGTGCATATATTCTTAAATAATCAAGTAACAAGTGTAGAATTCCCGTCTCATGTCCGCCTGAACCTATTTACGTTCACTTGAATTTTATCTCGAACAAGAATTTCCACAGATTGTCCCTTCTAATCGGATTCCATATCACTAAGTTTTTCTATTAATCTCAAATGCACTGTTCTTGCCTCCCCAAATCACTCAATCCCGCCAATTTACCAATTTTATTCTCCTGCACTCACACTGAAAAACTAAAAAATTCTCCTGCGACTGCAACTACCTCCAATGTCTCACTGTCATAGCGCCGTAACACGGAGGCAACACAATAACCAAGAATTTTTCTCGAAAAATATTTTAGAATATTCAACCCAACTGTTTTCCTCGGCGTAAAAATGCCAACGAGTGATCACACCATACTTGTCTCCCTCCATCCAGTTTTCGCCTGAATTTCCAACTCCGAATTTTATGGGATCAGAGAAAAACACTATCTATTTCAACTCAATTATTCATTAAAAATATATAAAAATGGAACAAATGGAAGTGGATATATTCAATAATCAAGTAACGAGTGCAGAATTTCCGTCTCATGTCCGCTTGAACCTATTTACATTCACTTGAATTTTATCTCAAACGATAATTTCCACAGGTTGTCCCTTCTATTCGAATTCAATATCACTAAATTTTTCTATTAATCTCAAATGCACTGTTCTTACACTGATAGAATGATTCATTTATTCCAAACGAGATTCTTTAACTATTAACGAATGGTAGAGTTGAATATGACCAAATAAATATTCGTTAATAGTTAACGAATGGTTCACTTGAATGGCGAAAGTCAAGTCAAACAAGGCTCCTCAAATATATATTCGTTAACTATTAACGAATGAACATTTGGTGAGACCGAATAGACCCTAACCTCCAACCAAAGTCCATTCGTTAACAATAACTAATCCGTTCTATCAGTGTACCTCCCCAAAGCACTCAATCCCGCCAATTTACCAATTTTATTCTCCTGCACTCACACTGAAAAACTAAAAAATTCTCCTGCGACTGCAACTACCTCCAATGTCTCACTGTCATAGCGCCGTAACACGGAGGCAACACAATAACCAAGAATTTTTCTCGAAAAATACTTTAGAATATTCAACCCAACTGTTTTCTTCGGCGTAAAAATGCCAACGAGTGATCACCCCATACTTGTCTTCCTCCATCCACTTTTCGCCTGAATTTCCAACGCCCTCATGTATAACGCGAAAGTTGAACCTTCGAGAGTACGAGTGATGTTGGACGAGTTGGGGGGGTGGGGAAAAAAGGTCGCGAGTGTTCTCCTTTCGCGGAGGAATCTCCAGTGCTCGTTGTTGCAAACTACAACGTCGAGATATTACCGTCGACAAAAATGTCGAGTCATCCACTTTCATTTTTCCATTTCTGTCTTTTGTCCAGGAAATGATGGAGAATTTGAAGAAACGAGTAGAAGAAGAAGTAACAAGACAAATAATGATCACTCGTTTCCTCGAAAGCATTTACGATGTTGAGACAAGACTTTGCACTCGGTATCATCAGATTGACTTGACATTTATGAAAGGATAACCTGACGCCCCTCAATCAGTTGGAGTTGAGTTGCAGAACAGTCTGATCATTGCAACTTTCAGATTCTTATCGATTAAGCCGCCAGACGGGCAATCGATCGCTTCAGTTCCGCCCAAACGCCCACAAACTACTTCGTTCTTCACTGAGATAGACAGAGAGATTGCGGGGTTGTTACAATTCCAATGAATTCTATCAACTCGTCCGCTGAACTCGTGCAATCGACATTCTTCAGCTCCAACTTATTACCCGCGGATCAACAATGACATTCTTTCCAACTTTTCAACAAAGCCGAGAGAGAAAAAACACTGGATTTTCTGGGTTAAGAATTACCGTTTTAATCTCGCGATTTTAATCAGAAGAAAATTTATTTCGTCTACATGTTTCTTAATTAACAATGTTTCCACGAATGAAATATTTAGATNCCCCCCGGATCAACAATGACATTCTTTCCAACTTTTCAACAAAGCCGAGAGAGAAAAAAAATCAGGATTGTCTGGGTTAAGAATTACCGTTTTAATCTCGCGATTTTAATTAGAAGAAAATTTATTTCGTTTAGATGTTTCTCAATTGATAATGTCCCAATGAATGGAATTCATTCAATTTTGAAAATTAAATAAATTTTATTTATTTAATTATTTAGATAAATACTCGGAGGAATTATTCAGTTGACTTCATTAAACTATCATAATAATTCGTAATAAAGTTTTTACTGAAACTGGAACTTGATGTCACATTAAAAAGTTTCTTCAGTGAAATAAATATATAAAGTCATGAATTTCCAATAAAGATATTATTAAAGTGAATAGATGAATGTGAAATGAAGAGTTTTATTCGATTCAATTGCATCATTTCCTTGGAAATAAACATCCTATTTATTTTACACTGAATATCCATTTAATTTGTATGTTCAGTTGCACCCAAACGCCCCCGAACTTCTTCATTCTTCACTGAGTTAGACAGAGAGGTTGCGGGGTTGTTACAATCCCAATGAATTCCATCAACTCCTCCAGTGAACTCGTGCAATCGAAATTGTTCAACCCCACCTTACTCCCCCAGAATCAACAATGACATGCTTTCCAACTTTTCAACAAAGCCGAGAGAGAAAAAAGAAAAAAGAGAGAAAAAAGAACTTTTTCTATGTTAGAGTTACCGTTGTAACCTAGCGATTTTAATTAGAAGAAAATTTATTTCGTTTAGATGTTTTTTAATTGATAATGGTTTAAAAATTTTTTTTTAGTTGATAATGATAACAAATTTATTAACATTTTATAATTCTTCATATGGAGCACAACTCGATCATTCATTTGAATCTATACAGGATTTGTTCGGAATGAGTGAATTATTCATTTCTTCATAATTTAAACATTTCTTCATTAAAAGAATGCATAAAATCATGGATTCCCAATGTATTAAGGATAAAATATTATGAATATTATAAACGAATGTTTCCTTGACCCGAATAAAGACTTCCTAACTTAGAAATGCAATAATTATTTAGATGGCGACAGTAATTAATTCATTAACATTCTAATCTCGCGTTTCTAATCACAAGAAAATTGCTTTCGTTTAGGTGTTTTTTAATTGATAATAGCATATTATGAACATTTTATAATTTTTCATTTGGATCACAAATGAACGGTTCATTTGAATCTATAGAGGATTTGTTCGGAATGAGTGAATTATTCATTTCACATAATTAAAACATTTCTTCATTGAAAAAAATATATAAAATCATGAATCCCCATGTTTCAATTATAAAATATTATGAATATAATAACTGAATGTTTCTTTGACCCGAAAAAAGACTTCCTAACTCAGAAATGCAATAATTATTTCGATGGCGAAGGTAATTAATTCATCAACATTCTAATAGAGGATTCGTTTGAACTGAGTGAATTAATCGTTCATAAAATTAAAACATTTTTCCATCGAAATGAGCACATGAATTTCAAATAAAATTTTTATTCTATTTAAATGCATTGTTTCTCTGGATAAAACCTACTATTATCTCACATTGAATGTCCATCTCCCCCGGACGAACTCCATGATTCATTCAGTTGAACCCACATCTGATGTAGCACCAGACAACCTTGCCGCATAATGCACGAATAACCCCATTAAATAATTTCACCCATGAGTATTATTAAAATTCCATATCTTTGATTAATCGCCCGTGGGAAAATCCGAATCCATCAGTCTGGAGCGCTGATAACACATGAAAACACCAGTGAATGCAGGGAAAATAAACTCTGAAACATGTACGCTTTTTTTCAAACAGAAGCGTACATCAGCTCTTTGAAAACTCTTGGCATGCGCCAACGTATACACATTTCTCTTTTTCAGTTTTGTCTGTTTGTCGCGACGAGAGAAACTAAAGCACGTCATGCGCTGTGCTTTTTGACAGGGGGATTATCGACCCTGAGGGCTATTTCGCACTCAAATTGGCGGAGTTTCCTTTGTTGCAGGGGCTTCGATGTTACTTAACTCGTTGAACCCGTTCACTGAGAAAAATATAATTCTTCTGACTATATTCCATCACCATCGAATTATAGTCAAAAAGTCCTCAACAATTTTTCATGGGTTACGGTAACTATGGCCGGAGAAGTAATTACTACAATGGAATGTAGTCATTGCAACTATTTTATAGTTCTCCTCACGATAGATTTGTCGTGGTTACTTTTGAACTTTGGTTAGTTTAACTGCATTTTGATTTGCAAAAATAACGCTCGGCCAGCTTCATTTTGTGCAGGTGAGCCCGAACCATTCGTCAACTATTAACGAATATTCATTCGGTCATATTCAACTCTACCATTTGTTAATAGTTAACGAATCTCGTTTGGAATAAATGAATCAGTCTATCAGTGTATACGGGAGAAGTCTCAAGAAG